AACAGTATAGATACACAATGCCATTTAGAAAGTGGTCATGTTATAACACATGTTATATTTGGGATTTACACGTTTTTAGTAAAGTACAGATTCTAGCACTTTTGTTGGGTTGAGTCCCATCTGGGATCCGAACCCACACCCTCAGAGTCAGGCACCTAATCGCCAGCACACAAAGTCAGCCATCTAACCCACTCAGCCAATGACATGCTGCATTGACCAAGTCAGTGAGCCTGACCATCCCATTACATTAGTGAGGTGAGGTGAAATTGGATTTAGACGATCGTGCTTGAGAATATTTCGGCTCATATGGACGAGTGTGCATGGTTGTGTGTAATTGTATGTGCGGCTGCTTATACTCAGCCAGACTTAAGCTGGTTTTATAGAACAAGCCCACTAAGATACCATGCCGCAACCGTGAAGTATGGATACCCCACTCAGACACATTATACTGACTCTGAGGATGACCAGTCCTTGTTGTACCCATGAATGCTTGGCGCCAGGCAGGGACCAACAAGTACCATATTTTAACGTCTTTTGGTATGGCCGGTGGGGGGATCCAACCCACCAACCTCCGCTCTCGGGCGGACCATTACATTAGTTGCCCCTGTGGCAAACCTGGGTTACTGGAGACATGGATCGCCTAGTGGTCCTTACAGTATAAATCCTCTCAGTGTGGACATAAATTGATCAGTCAAAAGCAACATGGATGGTCTGCTCAAAAGAAGTTTAGGAAAAACCATGATTAATTTTTTAAAATCAGATTTTCTTTAACTTCTTTTGAGTAGTACATGTAAGGAACATGTAAAGTAAAGTTACCTGCAGGGTATTGTCTTTCTAGAAATTTATGTCAGTCAGTTGAAATAAGAACCATTGACTACTTTCTATGTATTCTGGTTGTCATACTGATCCTTGTTGCCATGGGCCGAAGAGCGGAAGGTCGTGGGTTTGATCCCCGACCGCGTCATACCAAAAAGACGTTAATATATGGTACTTGTTGGTGCCTGCCTGGTGCTCGGCATTAATGGGTACAACAAGGACTGGTCGACTCGGAGTCAGTATAATGTGTCTGAGTGGGGTATTCATGCTTCACTGTGGCATGGTATCTCAGTGGGCTAGCACTATAAAACCAGCTTAAGTCTGGGCTAGTACAAGCAGCCTCACATACACACACATGCACGCATGTCATCATATGAGCGAAATATTCTCAAGCACAATGTAAAACCCAATTTCACCTCACCTCACCTTGTTGCCTTCATATTGACCTAAACAGTATGACAGGAATATGCCAAGGTTTTCCTATAGAAAGGCACAAAGACAAGACTTCACATCAACTGCTTGTGATCTAACTTCCAAATAAGGAAACTGATTGCAGGAGAAGCTTGCACATTTTCCAAGTGACATTACACAAGTTATCTCCATCCTTTCGAGATAAATACGCAGTTTTATTCATGTTACTGTGTGAGTCATGTTCTCTGTGTGGGTGTAACAATGTTATTGTTTCAAAAGGTTGCAAAAACCAAAGACAATACAAGGTTGGCAACTGTCATAACACTGGCATCAAGTTAGGTAAACAATCTAATCGCGCTTCACCACAAACTTGGCAAGAAGCAGTGTCTATATCTGATGTCATCGGTTTTGCCAATGTGCAGATGATGATATCCCAAAATGCCTGTCTCACTTTATTAATACAAGCAAGGGACAATATGAACTTTGCATTCATTTTATGATTTACATTAAATTGTTTTACACACATGAACGGTTGAAATGAAACTGACAGGGAAAATATAGTAATGTAAAATTATATTTTTGAGTGAGTGAGTTAAAATTTAATGTCACATTGCCAGTATTTCAGCCATATTGTGAGTATAATTATTGTCTTGTATTGCTGGTTCATACCTGTGATGGCTGTCACACATGAAACCCATCTGAGACACAACTTGCTTACCTGAAATGATAAACCTATGAATAAAGAAAGTGAAAGTGTTTGATGGTAGGTAAAGACAAAACAAATGAAATCGTTATTCGATGGTTATGTATTTGATGCGTATAACATAGTTGTGTTTTCAACCTTAATAGTTTGCAGTGTTTTCGGAAACTGTTTTCAGCCTTGTAATGTTTTCATAACATTTGTAATCTTTGAGTCAATCCAATTTTCAAGTTCATACATTCTTTCTTTCCTGGCAGAGTACATTTGTTAAATTCTGATGTGCCAACTCTTAGTGCTTTGGTAGGGGATTGTTGTTTATTGGGTTAAGTACAGTAGGGCGATAGATTTCAGCTTGTGTTGTGATGACATAGTTATCAATTATTCTTTTCCAGAGTTCAGCACTATTGTCAGTGGTAACAGATGGATGTAGAATATAGGTCTAAACGATTCCTATTGTCATGTTTATAACTATATTACATGTTTTGTTGAATGATATTTGCAGCCTGATATTTTACTTTACAGTATGTTTATGTTTCAACATGTGTGTTACAGACACTGAAATCTTGTATATCAATATCGGGAAAACATTCATTAATGGTCTGAGTCTGACACTATGTTCAAAAGTCCATGATCATGTATGAGATCTATAAGTGGCATTGGAACGTATAGTTTGTGATGTCTGGGAGCGTTCATTGTTGTAGGGGCGGTGGGGTTAGCCTAGTGGTTAAAGTGTTCATTCATCACGATGAAGAACCGGGTTCGATTCCCCACATGGGTGCAATGTGTGTCCCCGCCATGATATTGGTGGAATATTGCTAAAAGCGACATGAACCTATACTCACTCACTCATTCATTGTTATTGATAGCGTGTTTCAAAAAGGTACTAGCATTCAGAATATTAACTGACCCATGAAGATCCAGGTTAGAATTGATCTTCAGTAACCCATGCTTGTTGTAAGAAGCGACTTACGGTTTATGGAGAACCTTATGCCTTCCGATAGAGGGGAAACTATGAGGATTTCTGATATTCAAAAGCGGGTGGTCAGATTCGCTGGCTTGGTTGACACATGTCATCAGTTACCACATGCAATCGATGCTTATGCTGTTGATCACAGATTCGATTATTTACAGACCGTGCCATATAGCTGGAATATTGCTGAGTGAAGGCGTAAAACTCAACTCCACTCAACTCACTCAGAATGTTTAAAATTTAAAACACACGCACACACACACACACACACACAATACCACACACACCACCTCAATACTTCCTGTTATCTCAGTTAAAGGTGAATCTATTTATCATGTTACACAACAGGTTGATGTTGTTTTGTTTCCTTGTCTTCCCACAGTTTTCACTGAAAGAATAACTTCATTACATGGAAAGATATACTCCTCATGCAATGGTGATTTGTTTGTGCTCGATTTTGTATGTGTGTTGCTCTTATTGATTGAAATAACAGAAACAGTTGAGTACAGGTTCATCAGAGATCGTTTCATATGTCTGATGTTAGTTATGTGTGAAGCCCATTTCTGGTGTTCCCTGCCTTGATATTGCTGGAATATTGCTAATAGCGTCATAAAAGCCATGCTCACTCACTCACTCTGATGTCAGTTCTGGTAATCCAATTTCATTCTTATTATGTAATGTAAAGAGTGTTGAAAAGAGAAGCGAAACAGCTCGCCTCGCCACCCTTGTGCAGTTTTTCATTGCATGTAACCATGGTAACAGTAATGTTGTGTTTCAGGTGGACCTGGGACAGCTGGACATGTCACTGTTGTGTAACCATGGTAACAGTTATGTTGTGTTTCAGGTGGACCTGCGGCAGCTGGACATGTCACTGTTGTGTCAGTTGTGTAACCATGGTAACAGTTATGTTGTGTTTCAGGTGGACCTGCGGCAGCTGGACATGTCACTGTTGTGTCAGTTGTGTAACCATGGTAACAGTTATGTTGTGTTTCAGGTGGACCTGCGGCAGCTGGACATGTCACTGTTGTGTCAGTTGTGTAACCATGGTAACAGTTATGTTGTGTTTCAGGTGGACCTGCGGCAGCTGGACATGTCATTGTTGTGTCAGTTGTGTAACCATGGTAACAGTTATGTTGTGTTTCAGGTGGCTGGACATGTCATTCTTGTGTCATGTAACCATGGTAACAGTGATATTGTGTTTCAGGTGGACCCGCGGCAGCTGGACATGTCACTGTTGTGATTGAGTTGTGTAACCATGGTAACAGTGATGTTGTGTTTCAGGTGGACCTCGCGGCAGCTGGACATGTCACTGTTGTGTCAGTTGTGTAACCATGGTAACAGTTATGTTGTGTTTCAGGTGGACCTGCGGCAGCTGGACATGTCACTGTTGTGTCAGTTGTGTAACCATGGTAACAGTGATGTTGTGTTTCAGGTGGACCCGGCGGCAGCTGGACATGTCACTGTTGTGTCAGTTGTGTAACCATGGTAACAGTGATGTTGTGTTTCAGGTGGACCTGCGGCAGCTGGATATGTCATTGTTGTGTCAGTTGTGTAACCATGGTAACAGTGATGTTGTGTTTCAGGTGGACCTGCAGCAGCTGGACATGTCATTGCCGTGTCAGTTGTGTAACCATGGTAACAGTGATGTTGTGTTTCAGGTGGACCTGCGCAGCTGGACATGTCATTGTTGTGTCAGTTGTGTAACCATGGTAACAGTGATGTTGTGTTTCAGGTGGACCTGCGCGAGCTGGACATGTCATTCTTGTGTCAGTTGTGTAACCATGGTAACTGATGTTGTGTTTCAGGTGGACCTGCGGCAGCTGGACATGTCACTGTTGTGGTTATTGTAACCATGGTAACAGTTATGTTGTGTTTCAGGTGGACCTGCGGCAGCTGGACATGTCACTGTTGTGTCAGTTGTGTAACCATGGTAACAGTGATGTTGTGTTTCAGGTGGACCTGCGGCAGCTGGATATGTCATTGTTGTGTCAGTTGTGTAACCATGGTAACAGTGATGTTGTGTTTCAGGTGGACCTGCGGCAGCTGGATATGTCATTGTTGTGTCAGTTGTGTAACCATGGTAACAGTGATGTTGTGTTTCAGGTGGACCTGCGGCAGCTGGATATGTCATTGTTGTGTCAGTTGTGGTCACTACACGAAGCCATCCAAGAGTACAAGGCGGTCATGCAGGACCGGTACTCCGAGACAAACTCTGAGTGTTCCTTCGGGACGGGGATGTCCAGCAGAGTGGGCTCCTTCTCCAGCCTCAACGACGACAGCGACTGGAACGACCAGGACTACCACATGCAGCCCGAACCGGACTACCATCTGGCAAACTCCATACACAGCAGCACGTCCAGCCTCCTCCAGCAGATCAACCAGCTGAAGGAGAGAGTTGATGCAGAGTTCTGATGCTGGCATGCATGTGATGACTTTACCATCACACATGTCATATTGTGGTTCAGATACAGGATTATTGTATGTGTTATTCACTGTCTGGGTGTGATGTGTTGTATAGTGCTTGGATAGGCCAGCAGTGTTCATGTTTGAAGACTTCCAAGATGTGTGTGGATATCAGGATTTCAAGCCCCCATGCAGCTTTGTTTGGCCTCAGGAGATTTGCCTTAACTGAAACTGGACTGGCGTGAGAATAACTCTTCACATGTCTTGGTCATGCAACTATGCAAAATTTACATATGACGATAATCTAGGATTCCTATTGGTCCACATTCTACAGTGTGCTGCTGTTGGTCACTCATTGGTCCAATTTGCCCAGAACAAGTTTTGTCATTTTACAGACAGGAAATGAATAAGGAAATAGGGAAATATACTGTTAAGAAACAGTTGAAGAACATCCAATCTTTTCCTATGATGGCCATTACAGATCAACTTTAGTCATATAAAAAACAAATGGATGTTCTTTAACTTATTTTGAGAAGTATATATTGGTGTTGGGCTGATGGGAAAGGAGTCTTAATGTCCTGAACCTAAATCAAAAGATACCAATCTGTGTTTTTTGGTTATGTTTGATGTAATAATGATATACTGGACAAGTGCTGTCAACGTTTTATTTGACAGTGTCAACATGTGCTGAAGTTGCAAGTTAAGTTCACTAGTTTGAGTGGAGGCCCTACGTTGGCATGTGGGCAACATGTTGGATGACTATTAGATTAGCTACCTCAATACTTACTGTTATCTCAGTTAAAGGTGAATCTATTTATCACGTTATACACACGCTGTAGATAACTTCTATATCGGATCTGTAGATAACATGACCATACCATATAGTTTATGGAGAACCTTGTGGCTTCTAATGGAGGCAAAAATGTGAGGATTTCTGCTATTCAAAATTGCTCTATATATGATTTCAAAGAACTTGAATTCAGTATAGAGAATGTGAAGAAAATAGGCCAGACCTTTCAACCTATCGCCATTTGTCAATCCAAAGTGATAGAATCTGCCATTTTGACTTCATGTGCAAGATAATGTTATCTAATTCTCAGATTCAATGAAGTTATCAGTATAATCAGTACTGTTTCATGCTTTTCATAAAAAGCTATCTGTATGATTCTCTAATTTCAGGATAATTTGGTTTCTTAATAATCAGGATAGTGTTTTTTGTATGTTTGCCTGTCATTATCAGATGATCGCTGGATATAAAATGTTGAGCCTTTAGAAAAAAAATTGGAACAAAATCTTACTTGAATAATGTATACTACACAAAAGAAGTTAAGGAAACCTTGATGTCTTCATATGAATACTACATGACAGACTGACAACAGTAATATAAAAAAATGGATGTTCTTTAACTTTTTTGAGTAGTATATGTGTAACAAGTCATACTATCAGAAATCTTGAAATATTAACTTTACAAGATGATGAACTTTATCTGTTGGTAGTTTGGTGAACTCTGATCTGATGACAGCTTTCAATTCTATTTCATGGTTTTAATATGTCAAGAGGCTAGAGAAAATGAAAGACTGTCATTGTGAAACTAGAAACAAGGTCAGATTTGGTCTGGAGTAATTATGAACATATACCAAAATAACAATGAGACAGTGCTCAAAATGACCAATTTGTACATGAATTTAGAAGATTTTTTGTTTTTCTTTGTTATGGACTGGAGTAATTACAGATGGTATTGGCACCTTGATCTGCAGGTTTTTTGTGTTTTGATATATTCTGATGCCATACAAGAAGAGGGAAAGGGAATACTTATTACACTGAACAAATGGCCAGCAGAAATATCTTCCTTTCATCCTAGAGGTTTTATGGATGGGTTGGTGTTTTCATTGAAGAAGGGAAGTGTTATAACATGAAGTTGTCACTGTCTTCCATATTCTTAAATGGCATCGTATTGTATTTGTGCCAGCTGAGATTATATTGTTTTATTTTTTTATGTTTTGTTAACAAATATTAGATTTGTAGTATGTATTACAAATTCCTGTTTTCCCACGACATTTACAATGGGAGATTTCCATCTTGAGTTCATATCTAGTTAACATGCTCTAGTGTGTCTTGTTAAACATATCCTCCAGTCAAATATGCTGCCATTTGATATTCTGGGGGCACCGTGGAATTTATTATATAAAATTTACGTTTTCTCAGGAAATGCATGAAAAATATAATTGTGCCTTAAACTGCTCAGAAAATAATGTCTAATACAAAAATATATATTCTTGCATGGTAGAAAAATGTAAGAGCTAAGAGTTTTATTGAAAAGTAACTGGTTTTGCTGGTGTACCCTCAAGAATATCAAATGGTTGGCCCTTACCATTGTATGATGAGTAAGAAGATTATCTCAGTAAGTAGGGGATTATAATGGTTATTTAGCATATGCTTAATGTGATAATCCTCTCCTATCTGCATGCATTTATGTATTGTTGAATATGGGTATATGACTTGTGGTTATGCAAGTTGCTCATTGTGCTTGTAACCATGGAAACATGCATTTAGCATTCACTGATTATCATATATTCTTGACAATGTTCTTGCAGCATTAAAATGTAACATTTAATGGAAACATATGATGTATCACAGTAGACATATATTGGAGTATGCCAGCAAAATATGACCAAAGTTTGATTGTAATGATTTACCAAAAGAGAAAGGTTGTATGTGAGATATACTCTATGGTGTTTGTCCAAGGATAATCAAAAATACTTAAGAGTAAAATGCTGTGTTTATTCCATCTTGATCTGACAATTTGCATCTGGCATAAGCTTACTATTAAGAAACAACCTAAACCACATAAATACCTAGTATCTTTAGATGCTGTTATCTTTGTGTATGAGACACTCATTGAGTGTGTATCTTCAATAGGACTATAGTCTGTTTGCAGTGAAAACGTACCAATGAATTTCACTTTTAACAAAAAAGTAAGTCGAATAAAGTGAAATTAAGATTGCGAATCCTCATAATTTTACCTTGCCATTTGAACATTTAAATCTCAGAATTTTATTCAACTAAGAATAAAAGTTGTTTAACAAACAATCGTAGTTTCAAATCGCTATTATTGGTTTGTATTACAAGGGGGTTTACACATTAAATGAAACACCAAGAAAAAGCAGGGTTGGCCTAAGTTAACGCTCATCACGTACCGCACGTGCATTTGTTTCACTGTTCCAACTACTGCGCTTACCCCCTTGTAATACAAACCAATAATAGCGATTTGAAACTATGATCGTTTGTTAAAACAACTTTTATCCTAAGTTGAATAAGTTTTAAACGTTCAATTGGCAAGGTAAAATTATGACGATTCGCAATCTGAAGTTCACTGTATTTGATTTACTATTTCGCTTAAAGTGAAATTCATCGGTATGTTTTCACTGCAAACAGACTATGATGACCATCACCAGTTCAGGGAGTACCAAGCTAAGTTGTATTGACTTCTACTTAAACACGTGAGGCTAAGAAATAGAACATTTATGAGGCCTTGTGATTTTTTTTTAAATACTGCACATCACTGAAATTTACTGATGCCAGAATTTAAAATGATGCAGGAATATATTTCAGATTTCTCTTGTGATATGATGGACACAGATCATGCTTGATAACTGACACTGGTTTAAACTTTGTGTCAATCTATTTTTAATGCAGTGTAATGTTGTTGATCAGTGTCTTTAGTAAAGTTCTGCAAATGAATATTTACCCCACAAGTTTTACAACAATTTTGATGTGTTTGTTGAGCTGGACATGTGTGGCGTGTCTGTGTCTAGTCGTGAATTCCCCCTTGAGTACAGGGCGTTACCATGGTAGAACTATGACATCACACAGTCCCTAGGTCAGTGGGTGGCATGATGCCAGCTACAGGATGTCAGTAGGCTAATATGAGACATGGTGGGCAAAAAGGAAGTTAATGAAGGCAGGGTTGACACTCTGGTTGACAAGCAAGTGGCTGCATGGAAACACTCCAGAAGTAAAAAGTATCTACGTATGGTCACTTGTACTGAAACATTGCTTTGACAACATAAACAAATTATAAAATCCATTTAGGCCGTCTTCACTGACACTTCGTCCACTTAAAAACTGCTACTTAAAGATAAATAGAATAGTTTCTTGTTGGTTGCTTTGGTTACTCAAGGTTGTGAAATGCTTACATTCTTATTCCCTGTCATGTATAAATGCTATAGGGAACGTTTAACTGAAGTTTAATCTCAAAGTTTCTTCATAATGACGGTGTGTGTGTGTGTGTGTGTTGTGTGTGTGTGTGTAGCCTAGTGGTTAAAGCGTTGGCTCGTCACGCCGAAGACCCAGGTTCGAATCCCCACATGGGTACAATGTATGAAGCCCATTTCTGGTGTCCCCAGCCGTGATGTTGCTGAAATATTGCTAAAAGCGGCATAAAGCCAAACTCAGTCAGTCAGTCATACTGACGGGAGAATTTTCAACAGTATAAATGAAACAGAATCAAACGACAGGTGAAGGAAACATGGAATATAATAATATATTATTAATGGGTTCAGATTGTATGGATGGTTCTTTATTTAGATGTGTGTTATGGGAGTCATACTTTTGACTAAAGACATATCAAAACAGTACATATCTGTCTTGCCTTCAGTAAATTATTTTGAATGTGCATTGGTGTTATTGAACATGTCTGACAGGATTTTTAAGTTAGCAATTGTCATCATTAATCATGTACATGTTTCATCAGACCAAACATTTTAAAAGACAAAAAATTGAAGTTTCAATATATTATCAAAGCCCTGAATTTGCTAAAAAAAAATACTTATGACAGAAGCAGTCCGTGTCTCTTGCTGGATGAGAGTTAAGCTTTGTTTCCTGAGGTGGCCATTGAAAGTACAGATTATTTTGTGTTGACACAGAAGCGCCACACCTCTCATGCATACATACATCACAGGTGTAGTTGGCTTCAGTCTGTATTGTGTTGAGGGGGAAGTATTCAGGTTTCACTGACCCGGTTGTATGGGCTGGTGGTAGGATTACTACTCCTCATGGTGAACACAGAGCGTGTTGATATAGAACGTGTGTCCATTGTTGTGAGGAAGTGAATTAAGTCAGAAGGGTGTTGGTTTTTCATTCAGTTTACAGGTCCACTGACATTAAAGGTTGAATTATTTATTAATATGATAATATTCTAAACAAGACCTCTACTATAATTCAGTGAAGGAATCAAAACAACTCATTTCTTTCATTTTGTTTTATATTTCACTTATGCTTATTTTAGTGATAGCGTGTAAAAATGTTTCCTTGTGTTTCTACCACAGGCTAAACATGTATAGAACCAGAATAAATGCATGCATACATACATACATACATACATACATACATACATACATACATACATACATACATACATACATACATACATACATACATACTTACATACATACATACTTACATACATACATACATGACCCAATATTGTCTTTCATGTGACATTAAACATTAGTTTCACACTTGAATGATGAATTGAAATGCAAAATTCTTGTGTGAAAGGATTTCAATGGTTTTGATACAATTGCAATCAATTTTATAAAAACTACACCACATCCAACTTATTCTTCTTTCAGATACAAAATTTTGCAATGGAAAGCATTTGAATGAATAATTTAGTGTGTACTTCAAATAGGTACAAAATATATCAGTATATCACCTTTCTGGGAGAACAGAAACAGCCTATGTATGTTGGTTAGTTGTGTCAGTCAAAGGACTTACATTCCATTATGTTTCAAAGTTTACAGTGGTACTTGCTTAGCAAGCATGTCATGCCACACCAATATATTAACGTGCCTATTGTTGGTCAATAAATACTGCCTTTATTAAATTCCTGAAAAAGAAACAGAAAAAGAGTTTCAAATCAGTGAGCTAAAAGGTGTTTAAAATAATTTTTCAGTGATGTGTTTTTTTGTGATGTTGAGCTGGCTCATCCATAGAATAAGAAAATATAAAGGTCTGTCATTAGAATGACTAGGTATAGTATTATGTTGTACATGTATTTACTTGGTGTTTTTGATGTGCAGTTGTGTGAATTAACTCAAGTTTTGCTATATGTAAATAGTGTGTACTTTTCAATATTGTGCAGTAACAATAGTTATATCTGTGATATTTATACTTAGTTTCAACTGACACAGTGGTGATAGATGGGAATGGCAGTTGTCCCAATGTGTTAAATGTACTTCAAGACTGGCTCTGTTTGTGTGCTCACCAATACAATCATTTGACCAAAACAAATACAAACTGACTTTTACCTTTTATTATGACTTTAAGAACAAGAAATTATCATTCTCGCACATGTGAAAGAGGATTTCCTGGAGACGAAAATTAATACTGAAATCCATGTAATCATGATAAGAACCATTGAAGACATGGGACCAAATAAATTGTTCTGAAAGATGGAAATTCATCCTTTTTGAATAATATTTGTATCAGCTATGAAGTATTTATTGATTTTATTTACATGTGTTCTCCAGCTGTGTTAAGTAATTTCACTTTGAAGAACAACCATAGTGCAAAGCATTATTATTCACCAGGCAGAGTTGCATCCCTTAGCTGTTGAAGGATGTGCTGATCAAAGGTTTCAATGTAAGACTAGCTAAGATTTGTTGATTGTAGGTTGAAAATGTATTTATGCAACTGTGGACTAAACCTGTCCCATGAAGTTCACATATGACATAACTGAAGTTCAATGCAGGTGAAGTTCTTCTCACTCTACATAAAATAGGTACATGTAGAGTAATGCAAAATAAAATGAACTCATCCAACAGCATTAGTAACACATTTGAGATAGTCAACAAGTATATGCCAGGAAATAACAACTTTGGTATTTGATATAGAAATTTAAACTTTTTATGAAGTGCAATATTACAAAATAAAAACCAAAAACTCTGGAGAATAACCAGTCTTGGTCATCTGATGAAACAGGTTCCATAGAAGGCAACATAGTGTTGAAATGTATATGAATATATACCAGTAGTTGATAAATATAAATTTTGACCTGAATCTTGAACTTACTAAGACTGGCAAATGGCCTGAGACAAGGGGAGTGAGGAGATAGACCTTTGTTTGTCTGAATTAGGTCTGATATACTTAGTTGCCTTATGGGTACTGTCAAGTAGGAATTCCAGGTTAGAAAAAGACCCATCAACTTATGCTTGTCAAGGGACACATTGCCTATATATTGCTCAGCCCTGTGTTAAACACCAACTCTGAGATACACCTATGCCATGGCTCTATTTACTTGAGAGAAAACTGTAACCTGTACTCGGACCTTCCAAACAATATAACCTTGACCATCACCAAACATGGTTGCAACTGGTTGAACAAGTAATCATTTCGTGAAAATATTTTGTCAACAAAGGTTATGATAATTCCTGGGTATAATATTTTTTAAAGTTAATTTCAAGTGAATTTTATCTCTAAGTCTTTGAGCTTAAACTTTTCTCAAACCAAAGAAAATCAAATATGAAAAACATTTATTACAACTGCTTAACATTTTTTTTCACAAAGTGCTTCTTAAATCAAAATGAAACTCGAAGTATTAACTTTTCCTTGAGTCGTGTAAATATTCAGCAATACTCACATTCTAATAATGTTAATACCTACAGTTTTAAGTAACTAATATCCCAAGTACAGGTAGATGCTTTCATCCAAAGCTTATTGCTTTAGAAATGACAGCATTGCTAACCAGTGTGTGTGATGAATGTCCTCCCTAATACCTAATATATCTGGAGACTGTATTTCCCTGTGGTGGCCTTGTTTACACAGCCTGGTGTTGACAGTATGTTAGATACAATGTAAACAACTTGTGATGATATATGTGATCTTCCTCTCAGTCCACATTTACCCACACATGTATTATCAGACTGCCTGTGGGGTGGTGGGGTAGCCTAGTGGTTAAAGCGTTGGCTCGTCACGCCGAAGACCCGGGTTCGAATCCCCACATGGGTACAATGTGTGAAGCTCATTTCTGGTGTCCCCAGCCGTGATGTTGCTGGAATATTGCTAAAACAGCGTAAAACCAAACTCAGTCAGTCAGAATGCCTGCATTATACCTCGCGTTTGTCCCCACACACCATCTGGGGTATGTGTTGATGAACACGGTGACTGACTGTTTCTAACAGCTGTGAAAAAAAACTTATTTTTCTGTACACCTTTAGGTAAATTGATATTAATTTGTATGTACAGATAATAAGATGTGATCGAGTTGTTCATTAAATTATGTTTAATGTAATGAAGCACTGTGAATTCAGATTTCACTGGTTTGGGTTAAATTTTAGTGAATCATGGCTACATTTGTAGTTATGCTCTATTTAATTTATCACCCTTGAAGATCCGGGTTAGAATTGATCTTCAGCAACCCATCCTTGTCATATGAGGCGAGTAACGGGATCAGGTGGTCAGGCTCGCTGACTTGGTTGACACATATCATCGTATCCCAATACAAACGCTGTTGATCACTGGATTGTCTGGTCCAGACTCCATTACTTACAGACCGCCGCCATGTAGCTGGAATATTGCTGAGTGCGGCATTAAACAACACACCAACTAACCTACATTATGAAGTGTATTATCTGGGAAGTGAAAGATTTTGGATCAACAGGTTCTGGACTATCCAGGTTTCACTGTATATTCAAACATGGCACTAACCATGACAGGTTCTGTTTCTATGAGTAATCCAAACAACCACACATATCAACTTGCCAGGCTGTTTGCAAGTGAGTAATCCACACTACGACGCATATCTACTTGCCAGGCTGTTTACAAGTCATTGATAGACCGTCACAGGTTACCCCGGTCCTATGAACATGTTGATAGACCGTCACAGGTTACCCCGGCCCTCATAGTAAGTGTGAACACTGTTATTTATCACTGAATCAACTCCAACTATTCAATGACTACCAAGGAGGGAAAAAACATGGTCTCACACCCTATGGCTTTCATTGAATAGGCAAAGTTGATACAGTAGGAAATAAAGCACTATATAAGTATTTTTCTGACAACCTTACCTAGGTACAATGAAGTTCAATACACTGTTGCTTTGTTACTTAAAGTACAGCAAGATGTTTCCTACAAAGATTATTCAGAGAGATCAAATGTCTGTCCCATTGAATCAAACCTAGTCTTGTTCTGTGACTGGTATTTGTTGGGGACAAGGGCAGTTCCATAAAGCAGTTAGGAACCGTTCATAATTTATGGCTCGGTGGGGTGATGATTGGTTTTTATGCCCCTTGTGGGGTGGGTTGGAAGGCCCATTTTGTTTTGGGGAGGCAGGGGGGCTTTTCTACACATGTACAAGGGGGGCTAGCATTTTTTAAAATATAAATATTACAAACCTATGGGCTGGGAGGGTCATTGATTTTGTGCATGACATGCAGGGGGAGGTCTCTTACTCGGTACACAAATTGTAGGAGCAGTCATTCACATTGTATATGCCTCTCCTTAAAAATCATCATCACCAACCCTAGCCATAAATTATGGCTATAATGCTCTGATTGCAAACCTGTTTGGAGTACGGGAGTTTCAGTTGTCAGAGCTGTGTGGAAGGGAACCACCCAGGATCTATGGACAAACAGTTGTGACATTTATATGAACCTTTAATCATGTTCGAGTGCACGTTTGATATATGAATATTTTGCTGACAATTTTGGATGTTAGTTTTCTTTCCTGGTGTTCATAATGATGTTTTCATAATGTTTTGTTGTATGTTTTATGCATTATGTGCCTTAGTCCACTTTAATATTTAGAATGGCAAGTCCCTGCCTGGGAGCAGCATAATAGTCTGACTAATGAGCATGTTAATGTAATGTGTCAGTGTGAGGTTTGAAGATAGGAACAGGTTATTGATACTGTGTCATTGTGGACATTAAGTAGACCTGGTTTATTTATATACTACTCAAAAGGAGATAAAGAATGCCAATATTTTTCAGATGACTAATGCGTCACGCCGAAGACCCGGGTTCGAATCCCCAAATGGGCACAATGTGTGAAGCCTATTTCTGGTGTCCCCCGCCGTGATGTTGCTCGAATATTGCTAAAAGAGGCGTAAAACCAAACTCAGTCAGTCAGATGACTAATGTTGTTCTGTTATGGCCATGACAGATCTGCTGTAGTCATATTTAGAAAACCAAGTGTTCCTTATGTCTTTTGAGTAGTATATATCACTTCATGATATCAACCACTGGTTTGTGTTGCCCAGATGTGGTTATTTGAAGAGTGATACAGCTGACTTGAAGTGAATTAAAATCATGCATTCACAATGGTAACATTCAAAAACCAACTCAAGTTTTTTAAGTTTTTCAGGATAACTTCAGTGTTTTGTGTTGGCTGCAAAAGCCGGGCTGATGTACACTGATAAGATTTCTCTTATTTATGAATATTTAATCTAGAACTGTGTTCAGCTGTGATGGGGAGGTGGTAATATTTCGGTATTTTTGTACAATTCAAGTTATAAGGACCAATTAAAGAGTTGATTTTCATGTTTTACTTCTCTTGTCATGTTTTTAGGCTTGATTTTGGTGGGACAGCCTTCGTGATTGTGGATAATTCGGTGGGGTAGGTCATCACGACGAAGGCCCAGGTTCTATTCCCCACATGGGTACAAAGTGTGAAGCCCATTTCTGGTGTCCCCCGCCATGATATTGCTGGAATATTGCTAAAAGCAGCGTAAAACTAAACTCATTCATGGAATGATTTATTAAGACCATTCAGAGGCCGATATTCAACCCTACCTATGCAAATGTTAGTAAACAATGCCCTCTCTCTCTCTCTCTCTCTCTCTCTCTCTCTCTCTCTCTCTCTCTCTCTCTCTCTCTCTCTCTCTCTCTCTCTCTCTCTCTCTCTCTCTCTCTCTCTCTCTCTCTCTCTCTCTCTCTCTCTCTCTCTCTCTCTCTCTCTCTCTCTCTCTCTCTCCTTTTTCTATCTTTACAAATTCAACACCACAGTTGGCATCTGCTATGTTCTTTATGTCCCATGGCTGGGGGTGTTGCATGCTTCTTCATCCCCTGGAGACCTAAAGCCAGACACCAGTAGGGATTATTGTGGTTAAGAACTGTTCCCCTAGCAAACTATACTGGTCGTAATCTGTGACCAACAGGATCTGGTTGTCAGGCTCCCTGGCTTGGTTTAGTGAGTGCCATCGGGACAAATCGTTGCTCGTATGCTGGTTACTAAATTGTCTGGATGATTAGTCCATAAGCCTCAGGCCTGGTAACAACTAACAAGTATCATCATTTATTTACGTTAGTATGTCGCGGCAAGAGGTTCGAAACACTGACTTTATGCTCTCACGACAATTGGGCAACTTGAGCCTTTCAGTATGCAGTTTATATAACACTGGCTATACGGATCATTGGCATTCCATAACAATGATCGGCATAAGATCAAGGTCCAACATACACATGATGTGCCCGTGCTATTCAGAACTTTGGAAAAAAACCATGTCAATTAAGTGCATGTATTAACAAAAACAAATTCTGCGTGTTTAATATACAGTGAGATGAGGTAAAAAGAGAACTGCGAGTATTTAGCGACGTCCTTGCACGTGTGTGTGCTGGTTATTCTAGTCCGAACATGCAACAATTGAGCATCAAATAATTACTCCGACATGGTATATTGCATTGACACCAAGTCCTTGGTAACAAGTACCATCATGTCGCGTCCTTTACATGACGTGGCCAGGGGATCGAACTACCGTCCCGCCATCCTCCGAGCAGACGCTGTATCCACTGGGCCGCTGGGGTGGGCTCATTTATGCTTGTAAGGTCCGGGCGAAGCCCTCGTGTAACCAAGATCTGATAAGATGTACATGCTTTCAGAGATTTTGTTGGAAGACGGCTTAAGTAAGATGAAGCGATTACACTAGGTAATGCATGGTTGCTGCTCCCACACAGGTGTACATCATGAATGCTTTAAAGGTGCTGTCCTCGCCTTGGGTGAGGTGAAGTGAAATTGGGTTTAACGTCGTGCTTGAGAATATTTCGCTCATATGACGACGTGCATGCGTGTGTATGTGTATGTGCGGCAGCTTGTACTAGCCCAGATTTAAGCTGGTTTTATAGTGCCAGCTCACTGAGATACCATGCCGCAGTGAAGCATGAATACCCCACTCAGACACATTATACTGACTCCGAGCCGACCAGTCCTTGTACCCATTAATGCTGAGCGCCAGGCAGGGACCAACAAGTACCATATTTTAACGTCTTTTGGTATGACGCGGTCGGGGATCGAACCCGCGACCTTCCGCTCTCCGGGCGGACGCTCCGGGCGGCTGCCTCGGACATTGCAAAAACTGCGAGCCACAGTCTTGCAAACGGAACATTCTGTGCCATCAAAGTAGGGGATAGTTGAAATCATCAAGGCACATCTTCTGGTCCATATGGTATTTGCAAATGGAAATGATATGACAATATTTGCTGGGGAGCATGCGATCATATCTAATGGGTTTAAATGTTGTGCGATGTGATGGTGGCGGACTAGATTGTTAAAGAGGGGGTCAAATTCAGCGATGATCATCACCACGAATAGTGCCGTGAAGCCGTGATAGTACCGACATGTGACCGCCACGGAGAGTAATGGAGCACAATTCTGCCTGTCACTGCATGGGCGGATCCAGGAATTTGCAAGGGGGTGGGGCGTGGGGGTTCACGGCGGGGGACACCAGAATTTGGCTTCACACATTGCACCCAATCGGAGAATAGAAGTCAGGTCTTCGGCGTGACGAGCGAACGCTTTAACCACTAGTCTACCCCACTGTCCAACACCTAATATTAACTTCCTGAACGACGTAATCGTACATATATAAAACGTTCATTAGGGCATCTCCGAACACCATTTAGTTTTTATTTGGAAGTCGAGAGTGGTCATCGATTCGCCCGAAAACATGCCATTAGCACAACGTCTATTATCACAGTGATGACGTTCCCCACAATACCGAAGGCTCCAATTCAGATGACATCCAGTACATTGTGGACGTTGTGCCCGTACTCCTACATGCCCGCAGCAGCAAGTCAAATAAATGATAGTTTGCATAAAGACCTGTAATTTAGACAAATATTCCCAGTTTTTAAAATATACAATTTGTTTCCGGTAGATAAGAAATTCCAGAATTTGTGTAAACAATGTGTCTGATCCCCCTGCAATCATCCGGCGGGTGGAATCACATTTCTAATCATTTTATACATCATTCTTCGTGTCTTCATTTTTAAAAATAAGATAAAAAATAATGAACACGTTTATTATGGCTTAACATTGTATGTTATGTGTTTATAAATGTGTGTTTGTTACAATAAAAACAAATTTCTCGTGTGAAATCCTGTATCTCAGTCATCAGAAATGCATCGAGTTATCTGTAGTCATACCATTAAAAGACGTTGAAGTCAGAACACCCGAATCATCCCGTGCCATTTTAACAGAAGTTAAAGAATCGGGTGTTCTTATATTTTCTTTATGTAGTATATTAGTCTATATACCAAATAATTGATTACATGGAGTTCAAAACCCGGGTTTCCTCTTAGTTGATAACGATTGCAAGGAGAGTGAGTGAGTGAGTATGGTTTTACGCCGTTTTTAGCAATATTCCAGCGATATCACGGCGGGGGACACCAGAAATGGGCTTCACACATTGTGCCCATGTGGGGAATCGAACCCGGGTCATAGGTGTGACGAGCGAACGCTTTAGCCACTAGGCTACCCCACCGCCCCAATTGCAAGGAGAAGGACAAGTATAAACGCTGTGATTTTGATTTATTAGTTTATTGATTTCTCCTATACAGATCCATGGAATGTGCATTTGTTATTCATGCAAATTATATTGGCATTTGTTTCTAAAACTAAGAATAGTTGATTCAACAATGAAAAGAATGTAGAATAGAGCTAACTGGTTTGCTGGCTGTATGAGACAATCAAGATACCTAGACGTTGCCGTCATTCTTCAAGTAGTATATCACGTGTATGATCCACAGTGATATAACTATATATTTACAGTTAAGAAATCAACTGAAGAAATATGATGAGGAATGAGATATGTCTATTGTTACAAAATACCTTAGTGTATACCTAATTATATAAAACATTATGAAGCAGGGTTGAATGTGTTATGATATTAAACATTAACACGTTACAGAAATATCGATCAAGAATTAAATAAATCATGCATTCGTAGAACTAATCAGTACAAACACTGCACTCTTTCGACAAATACTAGTAGGTTCCTGAAACTGTCACACAAGTTGATAGGAAATATGCATGAGAAATAGACTGATCGTTTTGTACGATACCTAAAGTATGATTTTATTGTTAGTCAGTAAAGTTCATAATTGATCTGAACATACTTTATCAAATGTCACATATTATCACCAGGTGTTGTTTATTAATAAATATCCCACTCTTGTGGTTGCTCAGGCAAATGTAAAGAATACAAGCTTAAATTAATATTGATCATAACGCTGATAAATACCCCCCTCATGTGGTTGACAGGCAAATTTTAAAGTCCAGCTATGAGCTTGGTGTAAAGTTTCCAACTTGTGAGGTGGGAACAACTCTGCCCACTTTGTGCCTGGTAAAGGGGGTCTCCGTTCTCTAACGTCAATGTTCGTGATGGTCGGTGGATCTGGCCCCTTTGAAAATCGTTGGTCAATATAATTGTTAGATGAATCAGCCCAAAACATGATTTTTTAAAGACATCAGCTGTTTGCCTGCTTAATGTTTTCATAATCTCACGATTCATCTCATCTCATAGGCCAAAATTTGGTGCCAGGTGATCCAAACACACTGTAATTTGTGTTGGGTTTTTCTCAGTGAATGTAAGATCCTTTATACCTTTACGTTGATCGTAACTAATACGCACCTGTGTGCATCTTTACTTGCTCAGAAAGAATCGACATTGGGGTTGGATACAAACAGTGATTTTGACGAATCCGCCGTCCTTCTCCTCTTCCTCTCTTTCAGCTTCTTAACGATCCGATAACTTAGCGCCATTAGCAACATGGCGGCACTTCCGGCACCAAATCCCATTCCTCCTGCCTTCAGAAAACCTTTGTTTGACGTGACCCTGGGTGTCACAAGTGTCACAGCTTCCTTGGTCGCCGGGTCCAAACACACACAAGTTGCATCAGCATCTACTCCACCATGTAACTGTAGCTTAAACATTGATTGAAGTTGTTCATTAGTAAGTAAGTCATTGCAAGAGGTAAATCGTTTAAAGGACATAGAAAAAGTGTTTTGATCGCGTGGCTTATGGGTGGATGAAGGCAGTAGTACGATGTGGCGCACGATTGGCTATTCGATAACTAATGGGTTCGAACCCCAGACTCTCCTGATCTTAATCCTAGGTCTGTCAGCGTCATACCTGTGGTTCTGGCTTTCAGTTCGGTTAATTTCCTGCGATAAATATTTTGTTTCACTTTGGTCTTCCTCCCATATTAAGCTGCCACGTCGTGATATGACTGAATCACCAACCCACTTCCAATAAATAAGATTTCTGGTGTCCCCTGCCGTGATATTGCTGGAATATTGCTAAAACCATCACTCATTCACTCACTCTAAATAAGGTTATAGTGTTTGTCCAGATCACGGCACTATCACCGAGCATTTAATGAAGTAAAAAGGTTTTTATAAAGTTTCCTGCAAAGTCACGTCGGGGACACAAGATATGGGCTTCACATATTGTACCCGTGTGGGAAATCGAACCCAGGTCTTTGGCGTAACATGCCAACGCTTGAACCACTAGGCTACGCTACTGCCCGATTAAGTTGGAAGCTTCCATAATTATGATTGAAAATGAAAGGCTAAGTTACATGTTCAGTTTGAACATTATGTAAATACTAGCTACTAATTTGAAAATGATAATGAAGATTATAATAACTTTGATTGAGACCATGTAACACACCGATCACACTAGTAATAAAAGCAATAGCTTCCAAGATCACAGTGCGATCCAAGTTATGAATTGCTATCCAATAGTGAAGATACTAGGTATCGATGTAAAAGGTGAGGGTATCTTTCGTAGACAGGTTGCATCCGGCACACGTAGGCAAAGGCAAAACAATTTTTCACCAGATAGCAAGTTTTCGCGAAAAGGTGAGCGTATTATAGATTGATATAGAATAATAGATTGGATTGAACTTCGACTAAAATATTGGGTTTCTGACAACAGTCGTTCACTGACTGGGCTAATGTAAATCTATGGTAGTTTATATACTCACTATTTTGTCCACATCTATAAAAGAGAAGTACAAAATGTATCATGAAATCTTTTCCAGACCCAAAACAAGTAAATGAATACTGTTCTACACCACTTTAAACTAACGGCCGTTCAGTAATCAATTTTTTACATGCAAACCCTGGTCGATATCATGAACACAATTTAGAGAGACAACACAAAATATAACATAATCTATTGTTACCACGCATTCCACATTTTCGTCGGCACTTACAAGCAAAGACGCTAGACATGGTACTACTTCCTGTCTTTAGATGGTCATGACACCAGTGTTAAGTAATTATATACAAATACTGAAATGTATACACACCTTCCAGAATACAGTCACCTGAAACACAGAATACATTTGTTGTTAAGTTCTACACGATTCATTGATGTCATAACAGCAGCACATTAGAAAGTATCTATAATATACACCAAGAACAAACATCATAACGATGTAATATATATGTACTACTCCAAACGAGTAAAAGAACATACACACTTGTAAGGCTGTGTGTCGCAATGTACAACCCACCCCACCCCGCTACGACAAATTAACTATTGTAGTATGAAAAATTGGGTGTTCATAAAATTTGTAGTAGTAATTTCAAATAATGCCAGATTACTGTCACAGCTGAATGTTTTTTATCTGATGGCCTAAAAAACATTATTCACTGTGACTATATGTCCTTCTGGGACCCCACCTAGTTAACATATAATATTGCACTTTCGGTGTATATTCAGCAATTTGAAATAATATATTGCCTGTTTCAGAAGCTTGAACTGTATTCGATGTCGTGATCGAAAAAGAAGCCGCTGGCGCATTGGGTATTGGTGTGGTTGATGATGGAGTTGTAGTCAACGGTGTAGCAGATGAAGACGTTGGTGATGTTGTTGGCTCACTCGCAGGTGTGGTTGCTGGCTTACTCATTGGTGTTGCTGCTGGGATAGACGTTGGTGGCGTTGGTGGCTCACTCGCAGGTGTGGTTGCTGGCTTACTCATTGGTGTTGCTGCTGGAATAGACGTCGGTGGCGTTGTTGGGGCACTCGCAGGTGTGGTTGCTGGCTTACTCATTGGTGTTCCTGCTGGGATAGACGTTGGTGGCGTTGTTGGCTCACTCGCAGGTGTGGTTGCTGGCTTACTCATTGGTGTTGCTGCTGGAATAGACGTTGGTGGTGTTGTTGGCTCACTCGCAGGTGTGGTTGCTGGCTTACTCATTGGTGTTGCTGCTGGAATAGACGTCGGTGGCGTTGTTGGGGCACTCGCAGGTGTGGTTGCTGGCTTACTCATTGGTGTTGCTGCTGGGATAGACGTTGGTGGCGTTGGTGGCTCACTCGCAGGTGTGGTTGCTGGCTTACTCATTGGAATTGCTGCTGGAATAGACGTTGGTGGTGTTGTTGGCGCACTCGCAGGTGTGGTTGCTGGCTTACTCATTGGTGTTGCTGCTGGAATAGACGTTGGTGGCGTTGTTGGGGCACTCGCAGGTGTGGTTGCTGGCTTACTCATTGGTGTTGCTGCTGGGATAGACGTTGGTGGCGTTGGTGGCTCACTCGCAGGTGTGGTTGCTGGCTTACTCATTGGTGTTGCTGATGGAATAGACGTTGGTGGTGTTGTTGGCGCACTCGCAGGTGTGGTTGCTGGCTTACTCATTGGTGTTCCTGCTGGAATAGACGTTGATGGTGTTGTTGACGCACTCGTTGGTGCGGTTGCTGGCTTACTCATTGGTGTTGCTGCTGGAATAGACGTTGGTGGTGTTGTTGGCGCACTCGCAGGTGTGGTTGCTGGGTTAGTCATTGGTGTTGATGCTGGGATAGACGTTGGTGGTGTTGTTGGCGCACTTGCAGGTGTGGTTGCTGGCTTACTCATTGGTGTTGCTGCTGGAATAGACGTTGGTGGTGTTGTTGACCCACTCGTTGGTGTGGTTGCTGGCTTACTCATTGGTGTTGGTGCTTGAATAGACGTTGGTGGTGTTGTTGACGCACTCGTTGGTGCGGTCGCTGGCTTACTCATTGGTGTTGCTGCTGGGATAGTCGTTGGTGGTGTTGTTGGCGCACTCGCAGGTGTGGTTGCTGGCTTACTCATTGGTGTTGCTGCTGGAATAGAAGTTGGTGGTGTTGTTGACGCACTCGTTGGTGTGGTTGCTGGCTTACTCACTGGTGTTGCTGCTGGGATAGACGTTGGTGGTGTTGTTGGGGCACTCGCAGGTGTGGTTGCTGGCTTACTCATTGGTGTTGCTGCTTGAATAGACGTCGGTGGTGTTGTTGGCGCACTTGCAGGTGTGGTTGCTGGCCTACTCATTGGTGTTGCTGCTGGAAAAGACGTCGGTGGTGTTGTTGGGGCACTCGCAGGTGTGGTTGCTGGCCTACTCATTGGTGTTGCTGCTGGAATAGACGTCGGTGGTGTTGTTGGCGCACTCCCAGGTTTGGTTGCTGGCTTACTCACTGGTGTTACTGCTGGAATAGACGTTGGTGGTGTTGTTGGCGCACTCGTTGGTGTGGTTGCTGGCTTACTCATTGGTGTTGCTGCTGGAATAGACGTTGGTGGTGTTGTTGGCGCACTCCCAGGTGTGGTTGCTGGCTTACTCACTGGTGTTACTGCTGGAATAGACGTTGGTGGTGTTGTTGGCGCACTCCCAGGTGTGGTTGCTGGCTTACTCACTGGTGTTGCTGCTGGAATAGACGTTGGTGGTGTTGTTGGCGCACTCGCAGGTGTGGTTGCTGGCTTACTCATTGGTGTTGCTGCTGGAATAGACGTTGGTGGCGTTGTTGGCGCACTCGCAGGTGTGGTTGCTGGCTTACTCATTGGAGTTGATGCTGGAATAGTCGTTGGTGGTGTTGTTGGCGCACTCGCAGGTGTGGTTGCTGGCTTACTCATTGGAGTTGCTGCTGGAATAGATGTTGGTGGCGTTGTTGGCGCACTCGTTGGTGTGTGTTTGCCTTCTTACTCATTGGTGTTGATGCTGGAATAAACGTTGGTGGTGTTGTTGGCGCACTCGCAGGTGTGGTTGCTGGCTTACTCACTGGTGTTGCTGCTGGAATAGACGTTGGTGTGGTTGCTGATGGAATAGACGTTGGTGTGGTTGTTGGCTTAGTCATTGGTGTTGCTGCTGGAATAGACGTTGGTGGTGTTGTTGGCGCACTCGCAGGTGTTGTTGCTGGGTTAGTCATTGGTGTTGATGCTGGAATAAACGTCGGTGGTGTTGGCACACTTGTTTGTGTGGTTGCTGGCTTACTCATTGGTGTTGCTGATGGAATAGACGTTGGTGGTGTTGTTGGCGCACTCGCAGGTGTGGTTGGGGGCTGACTCACTGGTGTTGTTGCTGGAATAGACGTTGGTGGTGTTGTTGGGGCACTTGTTGGTGTGGCCTTTGGCATAACCATTGGAGTGATTGTAGGCGTAGCGTTATCAGGTCTGGTTTTGGGTGGCGTTGCAGTCGTTGGTTTGGTTGTTGAAGCACTCGTAGGTGTGGCTGTTAGCGAATTCGTTGGTGAAGTTGTTAGTTCACTCCTCGGTGTGGTTATTGGCGAACTGGTTGGTGAGGTTGCTAACATACTCGCTGATGTGGTTGTTCGCGAATTCGATTGTGTGGCTGTTGGTGAAGTCGTTGGTGTGGATTTTGGGATCATCGTGTTAGATGTTGTGGTCAAGCCTGGAAAATAACATGTATGTTTAATATAATAATTAGGTTTGCAACAGTTGAAATTATCATATTTTCTGAGATAGGTCAACCGGTTGTCCTTTCAAATATATATATCCTCCATGTCACTGATAACTCGGAGTACTCACTTGAAGTAACGTTGATAACAACTGGATTAGGACAACCAGACAATCCAGTGATCAACAGGATGAGCATCGACCTGCGCTATTGGGAACCGATGACATGTGTCAACCAAGCAGCCAGCCTGACCACCCGATCCCGTTACTCGCCTCTTACGACAACCATGGGTTACTGAAGGTTCATTCTAACCCGGACCATCACGGGTAATATCCATTGTAATGTAAGCTTGTATAAGAAGGCTTCTATATGTAAACATACACTTCTCGCTACTGTGAAACGTGGATTTCGTTCAATACTTACATGTATGATACTAAACTGCCTTTTGGGGCTTCCAAAAGCCGTATAATGTCGTATTAGGAAGGTTAAGTATGGATACACTGTAATTGCATACATAGACGATTTTCTGGTGATTTGTGAGTCATCTGCTGTGTGTGCGGCTGCTTTGAGCAAACTTGTTGATGTTGTTCGAGAACTTGGATTCTGGATAAATTGGAACAAGGTGGAAGGGCCTACACAGAGATTGGTGTTTTGGGGTATCATTATCGATACATGCACCTGCACCTTAGCATTGCCAAGTGATAAGCTACGAGACCTACATTGTCAGTTAGAGCAATTTTCTGAGCGTGCTAGGGCAAGTAAGCACCAGTTAGAAAAACTTGTGGGACGTTTAAGCTGGGTTAGTATGGTGATACAAGGAGGACGTACATTTTTAGGCGTGTATTGGACCTAAAAAATAGCTTGAAGTCTAAATCGTCAAAGTGCAAGTTGGACTCATGCTGACATTGCATGGTGGTTGCATTTCATGACATTTTGTCAATGGCTCGCTCTCTTTCTTGGATGATCGCCCCCTCAGAACTGTCGGTACAGATGCATGTAATGAAGGGGCAGGCGGTCACTTTAATGGAGACTTTTATCATATGAATTGGAAGACAGACTTGCCAGAGGTTCATGAAATGCATATTAACATTAAAGAGACAATATCTGTGGTTTAGCCGCAGAAAGATGGTGTACTGTGTGGTCAAACAAATCTGTGGTAGTTAGGACTGATAACCAGTCACCTAAGGCTTTCATTAATAAAGGCTCATGTAGGGATCCTTACCCGATGCAATGGTTGAGATATTGATAGTGGCTAAAACTATGCTTTAACTTTAGTCTGAAAGCAGAGTTTATACCAGGTGTTGAGAATACCCTAGCAGATGTTATATCTAGACTACATGAAAGTGGCAGATTGACCCAGCTATTTGAAAGCATGGGTAACTTACAATTACAAACCTTTGATCAAGATATGCTGTTAGGACATATGTCAAGAGAATTTATTTCTTCCATTTGGGGGTCTACTGGCTGACCGATTACAGTCTACAGTGGCAAGACTCTTAGGACAGGCATGGGCAGAATCTTCGAAGCGGACGTATAAGTGTCAGCTAAAGTGTCTTATGCAGTTTTGTGAAACCGTTGGGCTCAACCCTGTGCCTATGGAATTTGACTCTATTGCTTTGTATATATCTGGTGGATGTTAAGGGCCTAAAATATGCCTCTGTAAGGCAGTATTTGTGTGCTATCACATTTTTGCATCGGGCTAACAATTTACCAGATCCTGTCGGCAGTGATTGGCAAATATCTCTTCTACTCAAGGGTGTAAAGAGGGAAGTAGGTGATGCACAACAGGGAGCAACGCCTATTGTGCCTAGCCCACTTGTTAACACTGAGGGGTAGATTGGATATGTCTTGTTGTACAGGGGCATCTGTTTGGTTAGGATGTTTACTAGGATTCTTCGGAATGTTGCGTCCTGGAAATTTTCTTTGTGTTGGTGTTTTTTGACCCCAAAAAGCACATTACAGTTGGAGATGTAGAGAGACAGGATAGGGCTTTACTGTATCATTAAAGTGGTCTAAGACGCTCCAATTTCGGGAAAAGGTACTACAAGTGTTTTTACCGGATCTGGGTGATCACCCTTTGAATCCTGCTGCAGCCATGAAAAATCTACTTGCATTACATGCTAGTTGTACTGACACGTCTACTCAGCCACTTATGTGTGACAACAAGGGTTTTGCTCTTTCTTACAGTTTGTTTATTGATATAGTTAGACATGTTCTTGTTTCCCAAGGTATTCTTGACCAAGTGTCCGGTCATTCTTTTCGCAGAGATGGGACCACCTGGGCATTCGCGCTGGGTTTGCCAGGTGAGCTCATACATAAGATAGGTTACTGGAGAAGTTCAGCCTATTGTAGGTATCTAGAAATGAGTATTGATAAAAAAATGCAAGCAAATGTATGTATGTTTCCTGTATAGCCCCACAGTGTGACTAAGTTTCCAAATTTATTTAATTTTGCAATGTTATTGCTAGTTTTCTACTCTTACCATAAATCTGTTTAATACCCTGGGCTGGATGAATCATTCTTGTCTGTATTAAGCCCCCGTATGTGGCTTTGTATTAGTTTCTCCGCTGGTGTATAAAAGTTGCCAATCTTTCATTCCACTCGTATGTTTTATTGTTATATTAATAACGAACAAGTTAAATTGTTATTTTAATATTTTAAAATATATTTTAACGTGAGGCAGTAAATGTTTGCACAGTTGCCTCCGTTAGATTTCCTATCGTCATAAGTCCAGCTGGAGTTATCTCCCTTCCATTGCACGTTAGACAAGTAAGCACGCCCCGCCCTCATGGCGGTACAGCGCTCATAATTTTCACCAGCCCACCCACCCAGTAGTATTACTGTTTTGAGGCTATGGCTAATTACTCAGATTTATGTATATGGGGACAACACATCATTAACCTCTGTTAATAGCAGGTTATTTTACATTTCAGGATGTTTGGAGGAATAATTCTTGTCTGTATTAAGCCCTCGCATGTGGCTTTGTATTAGTTTCTCCTCTGGTGTATTAAAGTTCATTCCACTCGTATGTTTTATTGTTATATTAATAACGAACAAGTTAAAGCAGTTATCTCCCTTGAATAGGGTTTAGAATGGCGTTAATTTGTATTCACTTACTCAATAAATCTGTAAGAAAACATATCAACAAGCATCACCTTTATCGCAGTTTTTGTCGGACCATCCAGCGTCACATTTGCAGAAGTACATACCGACAGCCATGGGGAACGACATGCAGGTACCGTGCAGACAGGGGGAAGACTTGCACATGTCCACGACTGGTGTGTGAAACACATTTCTCAGTTATCGATAGTCACACTTTAAATATAAAGCAGGCATGATAAACATTTAACCATTAAAATATTAACAAACGGAAGGTAAAAGATGTCAGTTACGTATTACGACACTGGCACGTTTTACTTATGTTTTATCAGCGCATGCATATCTTAAACATTCATTGTTATACGATGGGAAGATTTTGCTGCATTCAAAGATAAATGGTTTGCGTGATCGGGATGTACAATTTCCACAATATTCCATTATCTGCATGCTGGTGAAAATTTGCATCGCCGGGAACCTGTTTGTACGATATGGAGTCGTGTATAGTGTCTATGTAGCCACCAGTCGGCGCGGGGTAGCAGATGTTGCACATGACGTATGTAGGCCTTACCGACTTCACAGTGTTTGCCTGTGATGTGGGGTTTGCACACACATTTGTACGTATCCCAGCTGGAGAAACACTCCCCATGCAAACCACAGGGTTCACTCAAACACGGATCTGTAAAGAAGTAATCCCAATATAAACATTTCTTATATGGCATTATAACTTTGCGAAATTCGATTGTCAAAACAAGATGAAGAGCATTATACAAGACACATTCATTACTGACTGCATTCTATGGGCTTATGAGATAACCTATTACAATAGATCAAATGGAGACCAATGCTTTTATAACTAGGTGTTGCGTGGAGCCATGTATAGAACTGTATTTTAATCAATGTGAGCATATCATTAAAGTCTGCATTGATCTATTTCATGAAATAACAAAGTGATATTTCAAGTGACATTTCCAGATAGAAGCATCAATTTTCCAGAGTTATGCCCCTTTAGGTCAAGGTCATCCTTGAGGAAATGTTAGAACAGGATCCGTAAACTACTGATCACGTTATTATGACGTAAGGTGATTAAAATGAGTGAGAATGTTTACTGCAAGACCTATCGTTTAGTAAATCCTAGTATTTAGCAGTTCAATACACTGACAACACTCTGCCTACCTGTAGGTATGACTGCCACCACCATACAGGACACCGTGCGACTGAATATAAGGATATGGTTGACATAAATATCGTAAACTACACGTATATAATACATTTTGGAAATGATAATTGTTTTAGTGTATAGAGAGAGGCAAACTTTACTGATATTTTTGTCAATGTTTCAAGAAGATTGAGTTATCATAATAATGCAAGTTGTACATTGATAAAATTATGTATTCTTGTACCAATTTAGCTTGACATGTGCGACTTGACAATTGCTACCTTGCATGGGCTGATACTTGGAGGCAGATGGTTTGATTTCCCGGTGTTGACGCTTCAACTTTCACTTCAGATTGGACCGTGGGTTGTAATGAGGCATTGACCGGTCTCAGTGATCCGACTCCAACCCCCGGGGTTGTAGAGTTGAAAACAGTGACCCCCGTAGTGCTGAAGGAATAGATGACTTCTTCAGCACTACATGGTTCATATGGTGTACGGCCTGCACATGTAACTTCATATCGCTATTGAAATCATATAGTATGTCATTGCTTTTGCCCCAGGAGCAGTTCTTAATTGCCATTTATGAAGTTTGTCATACGGTAATATGTGAGTGAAAGTTGTTTTATACCGCACTCAGCAATGTTTCACTATTTCATATCGAGTCTCAACCAGACAACCCTGTGATTGCAACCATGCCATACGATGGCAGACTGACTGAAAGATTGACCGCGTCAGTCCCAATCGGGATGTCTCAGAAGGACTTGTGAGGCAATGAACATATTGATGGAGACCAGTTTAGCTGAATAATTGGGTGAGTGAGGGAGTTGGTTTTACGCCGCTTTTAGCAATATTCAGGCAACATCACGGCGGGGGACACCAGAAATGGGCTTCACACATTGTACCCATGTGGGGATTCGAACCCGGGTCTTCGGCGTGACGAGCCAACGCTTTAAACCACTAGGCTACCCCACCGCCCCACGATGGCAGAGCATGTGTTTATGAAGTAGTGATGATACCAGGTGTTGGCGAAAAGGTGAGCGTATCGTGTCGACCAGGTGGCACCGTCATAACCAACCATAGAGTCTAGTCAATAGTTCACCTGAAATATTCGGGAACGTATGGTACAAGTAAAAATAGGGAATTGCATCGGACATCATTTATGTCACTGATGCATCTAATGTCGAAATGTCCTCCACATGTCTACCATAAAACTGCTTGAAAGCTTTACTGAGGCCTTGAGTGTTGTAACCTTGATCGTACAACTTATGAGCGAGATGAAGCTCGTTGAAATATTGGTGAAAAGGGCATGCTCGATTGGACAATTGTAAAATGTAAACACTGAATGCTGGAGCTGTTGGGATATTCGAAAGTTGACTATTGCGAATTGAAACCATCCCTTTTGTCATACAGCCTTGTGGAGGGTTGGGGGTTTTCACTCTGAATCTTTATGCATAGATCTAAAAATGAAACAGTCGAGGCAAACTCACGTGTCTCCTTAATTTCAAGTTCAGGTGGGTAAATCAGTGGAAGGGATTTGGCTATTTGATGGTTATTGAACGATATTAAATCATCGATATACCTCAAGTTAAGTTTCTTAGCTGTTAGCTAAATTACCTAATTTGGATTTTGCCATGCATGCATAGATCTAAAAAGCAAAATTCTTAGGTGGGTTCAGAATCGGATTTGGCTATTTGATGTTATTGAACGATATTAAATCAAAACAGATCTGCAGAAAGCATGGAAATTCTTATTCAAATGTATATGGAATCGCAAAAAAACAGATCTGCAAGAGGGTGAGCATGAACTGATGTGTTGCAAACCAAATTCGTAACGTTGAAAAGATTATTGTCATGTGTTTAAAAAATGATGAAACTGAGTGAAAATTGGCGAATTTTCAACAAATTTTACACCACAACACAGCTGTTCACATGCACGAAATTTGCACATGCTTTTTAGCAATTTAATGCATGGTCCTCATCTGCATCAATTCATCTGCATAAAGTTTGCAGTTGGTCCCCCAAAGTTAGTGGAGAAAGTCATCTTCGATTTAACCACAGATATATGCAAACATATAGTGAGTGCTTTTAGTGAGTCTAAACTTTTGATGGGTAGTATATATCACGGTTTAAGTGTCGGCTTAATGTGGAACGGAAGTCGAAGCGACGTCCACCTTTTTACAGGACATCAAATGGTCACAACCCCACACTGCGTGTTGGAGGTTTCTTAGACTGTCCCCAAACGTGGCACGAACACTGCTGTACTATATGTATTAACACTTACCCATGTGTGAACATGACTGGTATAGTACAGGTAGTATCCTGTGGACACGTTAACACAGTTTGATCTGGAAATACTGCGTGTGCCTCTGTAGACTGAAACATGAGCACACGAGGGTAGGTATGATAGACTCGACAAGGACAGTGTGTTAGAATACTGATGACTCATGGGATCATCATCTTTCAGATGGTATAGTTCCATCTGTTATGATATTCCTGAAGACAATGTTAATATGCTTAATATTTCATTCTGCTCAAATTGACAATAACAATTATATAATAGCGTAGATTAAATAATTATGCATCGAGCATTAAATAACACGTGTGTCAAACGTGAGCCATGTCACCTGTGGCACAACAAATAGAGTCGCGTCCCTTTGCTGTCTCAGGATCCGTTCGTGAGTTCGAATCCAAGAGGGACACTGCGATCCTTTGAACGTCAGCAATGTATCCGTTTCACCAAATCAGAAAAGGTATACGAATAGCGTGACAAAAACTCTCCTTCCGAATCAGTCTTAGATGCCGTGATATGGCGGACATATTATTCAAAGCGGAAACCTCATTCAAATGAAATAAATAAAGTGGAAACATCTTACACTGATGTTGTCCGTCACAGTCAGATTATTCTCTGCAAAATACGAACAGTTTGGTATCAGAATCAGCTTCTGATTATAGTCACCATTTAGATCGGCTTTTCCTTCAAGATTATTTGTGAAATTCACTATTTTTAAAAACAGATTCTATTTCTTTCATTTTGTATAAAATCAATTTACAAACAACAAAGATGTGTTAACTATGTATTGCGTATCTAAAGTTGTTCTTAAATAGAGACATGTTGGCAGAATGAGTGAGTGAGTTTAGTTTTACGCCGCACTCGGTAATATTCCAGCTATATGGCGGCGGTCTGTAAATAATCGAGTCTGGACCAGACAATCCAGTGATCAACAGCATCGATCTGCGCAATTGGGAACCGATGACATGTATCAAGCAAGTCCGGTAACGTAAAGAGTACCCAACCTTTCACTACGATCACATAATTTCTTTCTTTGCCATCCACCCTGTTAACAGATGGTACAATGTTGATTACATTTTAGATTTTAGGTTTATATGAACATAATTTCAAGAAATCGGTTCTGTGTCGTTGTTGTATCAGCAGTGATAGGAATGTACAGTATTGGTGGTCCGATTAATTGAAATAATCGAAGATTGGTCGCAGTGACTAAACGACCAAGCAATCGATCATGTTTTCTCATAATCGAATGCAACCAATCTTGGAACACTTGCATTAACAATATTTTTCACAAGGCTGGTTTTGTCTGTGTCTTTAAATTTACATTTCATAAGCACTACAAGCTTGTTCCAAGTCATGATTGAATTTATCTTAAAGAATCCAGGAAATCTGTGTTCCTAACATACTAATCATCATTTAAATATGTGAAATTTGCAAATGGACTTTATGCAATTTGCAAAAAAACAAATTATTACATGTTTTTTCTTTATTTTTGTGTGCATTAGCAAAGATAACAGGAACATTTGATAAATGACGCTAACCAATTATTTTCGATGATTGATCGGTTGTAATGGACCAATCATTAATTATTAGATTTTAATCAATTCCCAACACTAATGTACAGTATGTTGGATGTACCTACCCGCCAGTGTCGAACACTGTAGCCTGGAACATGTATGTGCCGATGTCTTCTGAAGTTGTGTCCACAGTCAGAAGTCGCGTCATGACCCCCTCGCTCGCTCTGAGGGGGTCTTGTATGAGGGTGGAAAGGGTGAATGAAATACTTGGCACAGCAATCACCGATATTGTTTCTATCTGTCTGCAACCAAGGAACGATAGAAACTGCAAACACCATGGCATGAACTTATATATATGACACATATTTCTCCTGACGCATAACAAATATCAGTCTCGATAACCCGTCAAAACAGATTTCAAGCGGCGTTAAAGGCAAAAGTTAATCAAATATGAATGGATCACTAAAACATATTCACTCAACGTTCATACACGGAGCAGTCCTCATTTAATCCGTGATACAAAGCAGCCTTATTTCATCAGCTGACTACAAATAGTTTGGTTTGTTTGTTAGTTGATTGTTTAACGCCCACTCAGCAATATTCCAGCTATATGGCGGCGGTCTGTAAATAATCGAGTCTGGACCAGACAACCCAGTGATCCACAGCATGAGCATCGATCTACGCAATTGGGATGCCATGACATGTGTCAACCAAGCCAGCGAGCCCGACCACCCGATCCCGTTAGTCGCCTCTACGACAAGCATGGGCTGCTGAAGACCAATTCTAACCCGGATCTTCACGGTTGGACTACGTATAGACACACTACTATAGCAATTGTAAATGGTATGTATGCACGGGAAATACAGGAACGTTATGTATACTCACTCCTGAAGACCATGCTACAGGGTAGTAAGTATGATAGTAATCGCTAAAGAGTAAATGTGCTTAAAATGAAAACACACGCAGCTGAGTTGTTGTGAGGACGCGCTGCCAGCATGACCTCCAGCCGGGCCCCTGCATACCCAACCATCGTTAGGCCATCTTCAGGAGTAGGGTCGACGAAGCCTGGATCCAACAGCTCTAACATTGTTCGTACCAGGAACTGAAGGTAAGTGAGATAATCCTTAACGTCATTGTAATTAGAGTGAGTGAGTGAGTGAGTTTAGTTTTAGGCTTCCGCACTCAGCAATATTAAAAGCTATATCCATTCAAAGCATGAACATATGGCAGCGAGGGCGGTCGGGTAGCCTACGGGTGGTTAAAGCGTTGGCTCGTCACGCCGAAGACCGCAATTGGTCTAGGCTCTATGAAAAGGGCGGTAAAAACGATTCAGCAAGTTGTATCCCACATGGGCACAATGTGTTGGAAAAGGCAAATGGCCTCATTTCTGTGTCCCCCCTGCCGTGTGATATTGCTGGAATATTGCTAAAAGCGGCGTAAACTAAACTCAGTCAGTCAGTATATGGCAGCGGTCTGTAAATAATCAAGTCTAGATCAGACAGTCCAATGATCAACAACATGAACATTGATCTGCGCAACTGGTGTGGATCAAGTCAAGTCAGGATCAAGTACATGCCTGGTAGACACCAGACTGTCTGTATCGTTGGAAATGTGTCAACGAACCGATGACATGCATCAACCAAGATCAACTGTATGCAAAGCCAGCAAAGGACAGCTTCCGCTTTAGTTCAAACCTATGACTGAGTCCAAACCACCCGATCAAGATATATGGTGGCCGTTAGTCGCCAGACAATCATTCGATCACAGATCAAATTGTGTACATGAGCACAATCTGCGCAATTGAAGGACCGATGGTCAACCAAGTACAGTCTAACCATGTCCCGATCCCGTTAGTCGCCTCTATGACAAGCATGGGCTACTGAAGATCAATATTCTAACCCGGATCTTCACGGGTACCCACATACAAGAAATATATGACCGATGCAATTCACTGGGTGTGCCTAGACAAGTATAACGATTAGATTGTCATGCCGTGTCACAAAATGTTCGTGGTACCTGCACAGGAGCGTTGCCGAGTGAAACTTGTAGAGGGTGACGAAAGGGCATATGATCATGCTCGATTTTGATGGGTCGGACGTTGTAGTCCATGACCTTCACCAACACCGCCACCTCGCCGTTGTCCGTGAACTTGTTGCTTTCTGTGGCATCGATGACGATACTGCAGTTCTGGGACAGAAACAACGAAGGGTCGTCATACCAAAGTCCGACGAACAACGCCGCCAATTGTTCAGTATATATAGATACCAGGAATTCTCTGGATGGCCATTATTTAGGAACTGTCACTTGTCTCTGTCCTGTGTATTCACTCCAAGCGCTGATATACCACAGTTGGTTGGGATGTTGAAATTAAGGGACCGTTCATAATTTATGGCTGGGAGGGCGAGGGGAAGATGACGATGATGATGATGCAGAAGCATGTACACCCCCCTAAAAATTTACGTACAAAGTAACTAAACCCACGCCCCCACATCCCCCTTGTATATCATGTACAAACTCAATGAAACACACACGTTCTCATAGTAAACATCTAAGAGCTGCAACGTTTGAATGTGGGTGAGAACTGGTTTGGCAACAATGTAACACAGATATGCCTAATAACCACTGTCCCGCCTCTGTGGTCTTCTTCCCAAAGAGAGGAGGAACCCGGGTTTGATCCCCACCTGTGTCATATCAAAGGACGGAACATTCGTTACCCTGACTGGCGCTACCTAACCGCCATTAGTCTGGACTAGGACGTACGGACGAACGGGCAGACAGATTGATACATAGATACACAAGCGCGCACACGCACACACACGCACACACACACACACCTCACAAGAAGACCACCCACCTTCTGAATGTGAACCCCCTTCATCTGCTCGAGTCCCCCTGTTTCGATGAAAACGGCATCTTGGCAGTGTACAACGTCATCGTCGTCGTCCATGGTGGACAGTTTGATGACACTGACAGCGTTCAGGGGTATACTGGAAACACAGGAGAACAAGGCTGTGGTAGTCATGACAACATTCACCATATTACAATCAAGGGCGATAATCTAAACTAAAAACTGTTAAGAATTGTCTAATTAGAACGACTGAGACATTCATGATTTACTAACGCTTTAGACCCCGTCTATAGTAAGATATATATTATTTATGTGAATCTATTTCTGACAACCATTGTGTTACACACTATTTCAGACCCATCCTGTCCGAATTCTACCTTTCTTCGGGGCGGTGGGGTTGCCTAGTAGCTAATGCGTTCGCTCGTCACGCCGAAGGCCGGATTCGATTCCCCACATGGGTACAATGAATGAAGTCCATGTCTGGTGTTTCCCGCCGTGGTATTGCTGGAACATTGCTAAAAGCGGTGTAAACCCAACTCACTCACTCACTCACTCACTCACTAACTTTCTGCGAGAGTGGGTGGATGTCTTGAAGGTCAATGGGCTCTGGTATCCTCTGTATCGTACCTGTAAACTGGCTTGAATAAGGTCATTGGACTGCTGTTCGGCTTTCCCGTGTCATTCCGCCGTCCACTGTGTATCTTCACCTGTAGGTGATACGACGAGTCTCTCTTTCCCTGTATACCGTTCAGGTATTTCCAGTAATTGCCTTGTAATCTGAAAGGGCACATGTTTTCTTGTACCTGGTATCAGTGCTGGGAGATTGACACAGTGTTGTTTTGCATAACATCCATCATAACGAAAAAACGTATCAACTGCAGTGTCTCAATGTGTCCATATGGTGATATAGTTTAAGCATGCATCAATTTATTATACAATGGAACGGGCATGATATCACATCATTTTGTATGATGTATATTTTAGATCTTGATGAAATTGATTTGTCACAAGTAATGTCAACATAAAAATTCCCTCCTAAAGTATATATTTACAACACATGGAACATTTCTTTTCAAAATTGAAGATAATCAGGGAAGGACGGACGGGATAGAAATAAGAAACACAATCCATGTTTATATCGGACATGGACCATACAGATTTTATCTGTCAGCTATTTGACAACATTTACACTTTATTACAAGTTCTGCCGTTTAGTCGTCACGCCGAAGGCCCGGGTTGGACTCCCCACATGGGTACAATGTGTGAAGCCCATTTCTGGTGTCCCCCCGCCGTGATGTTGCTGGAATATTGCTAAAAGCGGCGTAAAACCAAACTCAGTCAGTCAGTCAGTCTGCCGTTTAGCTGACAAAACATAAGGTCACGATGAAATTACCCTTGCATTCGTCGAAACTGCTGAACATTCATGAACAACTGAACAGCAAAAGAAACGCAAGTACGGCTTTTTGTCACGTTTTTAGATAGAAGACAACCAAAATTATGTCAAATCACAGTCCTCAAATGGAGATACCCCTGAACGCGCATAGTGGCAGTCTCTAGTAGCGCGTATAGCCACCTTGAGCTTGCACACAGGCCGTGAAACGTCGCCTTATTGAGTCTGAAAGAATGCCTGAGGCAACTGGTTCCACTCAAACACCAATATCTGTGCAAGTGTGAGTAGCTGGCTACCTGCAGCAATCCTTCGTCCAATGTCGTCCCAGAATGTTCAATGGAAGCCATATCCGGGGAAAGAGACGGCCATGGAAGAACGTTAATGTTGTTCTGAGCCAGATAATCCATCCTGCTGTGTGAGGGCTGTAAACGTCGCTGGCGTTGTTGACGTGTCAAAATTCGCCCAAAATATGACCGTCGTCAGTGGATTCCAGCAGCGGGAAGACGACGCCTAATCCTATTGCTGGACACTGCTCCCCTTGACCCATGAACTAAGGCTGCTGTTACTGTTGCTGCTTGAGTTCGGTTCATTACATGAACCGGATGAACCGACCTTGCACATGAGTTGTCACTCGTGGCCGTCCGGTACGGGGACGATCAGCAGCAACCCCGGTTTGCTGATGACGCTGAGCAAGTCGTGTAATGGTGGTAAGATGACAGCCAGATTTTCTAGCTACCTCCGTGTAACTTTCCAATGGCCATATCCCTCTGCTCAGTTAGTCTAGGCATCGTTTGTGTGGCGTGGATTTTTTTTACACAAACCTTTATAAAGGATACCTCAGAGTGAAATGCATGCTTTCCATCCAGAGCCGTTGATGCACGTGCTAAAATTATGGTTTTGCTGCACTGTGGGTGTGTTTGTGCGAATGTTTCGTATAGACGTCAAATTGCATGACATCATCTCATCTGGGATCATTACGTCACTTTACCGTGAACGTTCCATAAACATGAACGTTTACTTTTATGAGATTTCATATTTTCGAAACTAGTTAGTAGAGATACTACGAGTTATTTACTGTCCAACTGCAAACTCGAAAAAGCACGCATCTGTGCGTCCAGACATAACTCACGTACATGATATCAGTGGATGCTGCAAGAGGGTCGATGGTGACCTCAAAGACGCCATTTTCTAGCTCCCACTTGAGATGTTCGTTGATGCCCGACAGAGTGGTCAGCAGTTGTCCATTCACAGCGGAGGTCACATCCATGAGTGTCGCGACCTCCTCGGTCCAACTCCCGAAATACACAGGTCCCTTTGACTTTAAAACTTGTGCCCTGGTGGATGTTGTGTTTTTCCCAATCTGTGTTCTGTCACAGTGAGTACCGCATGGTCCATAGCCCAACTCCCAGCCAAGCAGAGTCCTGATCCGGACCTGCAGGTAGAGACGTAACAAATAGGAAGCATCGTGGTTCTTCTGATACAAAGACCAATGGAAAAAAAGATCAGTTCCTTTCAGCTATTCACTCAAGCAGTAATATATTGAAGGAAGCAATCGATCGATATCTAACTTCTTTAAAACGTAGAGTATTATGTGACATTACGTTACCTTTTAGCCCAAGACACCAGTAGTAGTATCGGCTTTACACTCAAGCAGTGTTTATAAATAAGTCAATCGTGTGATACCTAGCTAAAGATTTGAAGACCTAAGGCAAAACGTGAACTAAGTGCAATAAGTACAATAGCGTGTCCTTTGTATAGAGACCGCCTTCGTGGTGTAGTGGTTAGATTGTCCGCCCGGAGAGCGGAAGGTCGCGGGTTCGATCCCCGACCACTTCATAACACAAGAAGGTAAAATATGGTACTTGTTGGTCCCTGCCTGGCCCTCGGCATTAATGGGTGTAACAAGGACTGGTCGTCATATGAGCGAAATATTCTCAAGCACGACGTTAAACCCAATTTCACCTCACCTTTGTTTTGAACTCCAGCGTTATTGTAAGGTCCTATTAGAAGAAAGCACTGTAAATTGTCAATATCTTTTGGCGATCAACCAACCTTTCGAAGGTGCGCTAGTTGGTTATATTTAGGTACCAAGACGGATTAAAATCGGATTTGAATAGTGTAATCATCTAAATTTAAGTACTCTTTTTCTCTTGGTAATAATGAAATAGAACAAGTTGATTCTTATACCTATCTTGGTATTAACTTTCATAGAAATAGGAAAATGAACAACGCTGTAAAACATATATTAAATAGTGCAACTAAGGCTAAGTTTTTATTACCGAAACGAGCTCGTAACATATGTTTACCCCTCGAATGTCTACTAAAAGCTTTCGATGTGATGATTGTACCAATACTACTTTATGGGTGCAAAGTCTGGGGATAGGAAAATTTAGCTACTTCCGAAAAAGTTCATCTAAAGTTTCTGAAATTGGCAACTGGACTTAGAAACTCCACTCCAAGTTTTATGTTATATGGAGAACTTGGTCGAATGCCTCGGGATATCGTAATTTGCAAAAGAATGATTTGTTATTGGCACAAGCTAGAACTAACAATTCTTCCTGTAAAAATGTACAAACTTGTTTACATACTCTGTAAACTGAGAACAAGATTATCTTGTTAATTGACTTATTTTGTTTTTATGTCAAATAAAGTCATTACAAAGTCATCCATTGATCATTTCAATTATCTTGTTGAATTAACTTATTTTGTTATATGTCAAATAAAGTCATTGCCATTATCCATAATCTCTTCTCTTTGTGTTTGGATTAGTACATTTGGACTAGTTCATTAATTAACGAAGGTAACAGTGTAGTGAACCTCAGTGCAACCAACTATAACCTTTGTTGTTTTAACGCGTCTAACTTTTGGGACGTCTAACTTTTGGGATGACACCCACATCGCGCTTAATATTACGTCATATACCACCACTGTTTTATGACTTCATCCACTTCATGAGGTTTGGCATCTGGAAAGGTCTTGATCTGGATACAAATACTTTTATTACATTAGAAAACAGTGCGGGGCATCATTGTCGTTATCCTCTACAGACATGTGAAGGTACTCACTCGTGTTTCATTGATGAAGCTAAAACTGAGAGATCCTCCACAGAAATGATGTGTCTCATCAGCCAACACAAGCACGCGGAGACACAGAAGACATAGGAGACAGAGGACCGACGTATGCCTCATCTCCTGAATTATAAAAGTATTATTTCACATAAAGACAAGAGTTTTATGGATGACAACTTCTTTATTGTGAGGGGCTGTGGGGTAGTCTAGTGGTTAAAGCGTTGGCTCGTCACGCCGAAGACCCGGGTTCGAATCCCCACATGGGTACAATGAGTGAAGCCCATTTCTGGTGTCCCCCGCCGTGATATTGCTGGAGTATTGCTAAAAGCGGCGTAAAACCAAACTCAGTCAGTCAGTCTTTATTGTGAAGGGTCACGACGTGTCGAAGTATGTTCTTACTCCTTCATCAGGTGAATATACTTCGACACGTCGTGACCCTTTACAATAAAGAAGTTGTCATCCATAAACAAACTCTTGTTTTTATGTGTATCACTTCTAAATGCCCTTCAAAGGCTCTATTGTTTCACAGTACGTACTTAACCGTGCTCACAGGTTCTCTCTTCCAACATTGACCTTAAGAAACAGGGCATTATTATTTTTAAAAATACAATTGACTTCAAATTTACTTGAAAAGTTGAACCACTTAAAGATTTTTAGAATGGGTGATAAATGTTTGACATACTGAGTAATATATTTTACATTCACAGCAATAGGCCATAATCAGTATTTCACCTCATAGCATAAGTTGATCAGACACCCGGAGTCGTGATTACCTGTTGAGATGAAATCCACATGCTCAACTCTTTATACAACATTTCACACGATTGAAGTTATGATGCTATCTGATTGCATTTACAGACTTTATTATATATAAATATCATTGATTGTTTTGTATACTTGTATAACAGCACAATTGTACCTATCAACGTCACACATTGACTACATGTACTGTACCTGTAAATAAGTGAAAAAGTACTGTACCTGTAAATAAGTGAAAAAGTACTGTACCTGTAAATAAGTGAAAAGGTGGTAAATCATTTTTTTTAAAACAACAACAAATAATTTCTAGTTGTAACATTGTACTAATAAAGGTACATTTAAATGTATTTGTTATTTATTTAAAGATAACAATTTTCAGATTGATTAACTTCTCTACAAATGTTGAATAGTGTGAAAACGGTATGGTAAAAAGTATGTATCGTCAAAGAAATATAATTCCGTAAATGTACCATTAATAGGCATTCATTGAATGTAACCTTACCGCGTTCGACTTTTGTGAATGTTATGCGTTGATATATATTGTAAAGTTAAAGTTACACTTATATAAAGTACTATCATGTTACATACAGAAGTATCTTCTTCTCTATAACATCAATGCGACGTTAAGCATGGTATAATTGTCAACGTACCTGCAACCTTGATGGTAGTTACTGACACAGTATCACAATAAGTGACTTGCTCTCTCACAGATGGTTATCCAGATATGCCAACAGTACTCTGTGATCTGTCACACGAAGAAACACACGTCACAAGTGAACTGGGAACCCAAATATATATTCATGGCATTACCGACTTTGACAAAGGTGTCTTTAATATCGCTGCTGTCAGTGTTATTAACGGAAGAAAATCCTTATGCGATCCTCAGTTATCTGGTCGGCTTGTTGTATTCGGAGATAGTTTTGTCTCTTGGCTGGTTGGTTGGTTATCAGTGTATGTGTTGGGTTCTTGCCGTGCGTACTATCCGGAAATTGGTGTGTCATCTTCAATTAATGTCCACAGCACACTGTAATTGGGAGACGATCTTACATCTGAGTTCGTATTATCATGAACCAATGTGTCGCGCCTAACCTATACATTGGTGTGTCACCTGAGACCAGAATCCACCACTACCATCACACTGCACCATGTACTACCAGACGATACCTCAGTGCAGAGACCACCACTACCATCACACTGCACCATGTACTACCAGCAGACGATACCTCAGTGAAGAGACCACCACTACCATCACACTGCACCATGTACTACCAGCAGACGATACCTCAGTGCAGAGACCACCACTACCATCACACTGCACCATGTACTACCAGCAGACGATACCTCAGTGCAGAGACCACCACTACCATCACACTGCACCATGTACTACCAGCAGACGATACCTCAGTGCAGAGACCACCACTACCATCACACTGCACCATGTACTACCAGCAGACGATACCTCAGACCACAGACCACCACTACCATCACACTGTACCATATACTGCCATCAGACCATGCCAAGTATAACCAATGTTACCAATCAATTATTCCAAATAGTACCATCAAACTATACCAAATACAACTACCAGACTATACTCAATACTAACATAAATACACACACTACAACCAGACATACCAGAAATACACACAATACAACTACCAGACTATACTAATACTCAATACTACCATAAATACACACAATACAACTACCAGACTATACTCAATACTACCATAAATACACACAATACAACTACCAGACTATACTCAATACTACCATAAATACACACAATACAAACACCAGACTATACTCAATACTACCATAAATACACACAATACAACTACCAGACTATACTCAATACTACCATAAATACACACAATACAAACACCAGACTATACTCAATACTACCATAAATACACACAATACAAACTACCAGACTATACTCAATACTACCATAAATACACACAAT